AATAGTTGATAAGTGCTTTTTTTTAAATGACAAAAACATCCTTAAAATTATTTACATCTGAAATATAAATTAGAAAATATCTTTGTAAGAACAACGAACCGTGATTTTGTTTGGAATGGGTATTTCAAAAAAATTCAATTGATATTAGGAATAAAATAGTAACGAAATTTTTTGTTCGAAGTAAAAGTACTTTAAATACTTATGGCTTTTAGCTGATTTTGGCGTATTATAAGAACTTCTTGTATTTTACCAAAGGTTTATAACTTTTGTAATACTCTTTAATTTTGTCATTATCACCTCAATTGTAATGATTGCAATTTTTAAAAACATACCCAATTCTGGATCCAGCGTGGCCAGTGCATTTGGAAACTGTAAAGAGCATAACATCATATTTGGCTGGAGAGGTAATAGCAGTGTACTGTGGCCAGTAATAAGCTAAATCATGGATTAATATCCCTTGATCTCCATTAACAACAGGCTCTCGAGTAACCCCATCTGGATTATTTGGAGATGTAATGAACTCAATATATGGTCCATCTTTCTCAAAATTTCTTGCATCACCTGCCCATTTGTACAGCCCTGAACGCACAAAATCAGTCACTTCTGGATACGACTGCAGGCCAATACCAACAAGAAAATTGTTAATAATCAAGAAACCTCACTTTTAAAAAGATTAATCACGTGTTTAAGAATTATTATGATAACGAATGGAGTATGTGTCATGTTATAATGGATCTTAGTTATACCTAAAACCATGTGATTAATTATTAAAAAACAAGTACTAATATAGTAACATGTTTGTAAATCTTTGCATGACCATGTTCCTATGTTTCTTAGACCTACATTATAAGCAATCAACATGGTCTGAGCGACAGACATGGTTTGTTAGTGGTACATAAGTGAAGCATTATTATTAAATTTCTTGTTTCGTTGACTTTTAATTGGTTATTTAAAGATTCTACATTAGACATGTTAAAATAATATCCAAAGTCAAAATGGATGATTAGCCTTGATGAGAACCCAAATCAATATATGGCTTAAAAATTTTGTGTTATCAAGAGGCAAAACATTGAATAATAATCGGGTGAAGCCAGGAATATCACTAAATAAAGGATATTCAAGAATTAATATAGATTTGTAAAAGGTAATATATGTGATCTATATACGCCGTATACTTTGTTATAAGTACACTAACGAAGTGGTTCAACGACCACCTTTCACTATATGTGGCTACGCTACTGAATGATATAAGTAAACCACATGAAGATGATTGTCCAATTAGCGGAACAAAAGATTGACATGAGAAACCGATGTTCTTGGTACATAATCCCATTTATTTCTTTGTACAATAACATCCAGCCAATGATAAAAACAGATATATAGAAAGTGTGCAATATATGGTACTTGTAAATCACTAAATAGCCGTACCGAATAGAAAGGTGCAGCTGAAACAACACTGATAGGTTCAGGTTGATCTGTAGGAGAAAGAGCATAGAGTGCAGCCTGAATAAGCTGGCTTGATCCTGTCCCAACGACGACGTAATGATCATCCACAATTGCATTTCCAACCACATTGTGTAGCCTCTTTATCTCTTCTTCTAGTTTTGGCTCAAGGAACCAGCACAAGTTCTTGGCATTAGCAAAATAACTCAATGACTGATAACCACTGAATGTAATGTCACACCTGTTGCCCATCTTTCGCCAGTATGATTCATACATTACTGGATCACCCCTATACACAAAAAATGAAATTCCAAATTAGTATATTCCAACAAAGAAGGTAAGAATTTGAGGATTTCAGTATTTCTGGTACACATCTATAAAATTAAAAAAAAATAAAATATGCGCACAACACAATTCCAAAAGCTAGTTTATGAGGTGAGTATCACATAAGACGATATAAGGTAACAACGGTTCATTTCCTCTATTAGGATGTTATTATAACGGATTACTTGCACCTTAAATCGTGGTCTTTTCTGAGGCCACTATTTAAATTTTGTTCCCCGTTAGTATAGAGGGGTAAATTTTCTCCTTAAGAAGTAGTTGGATATCTTTCTTTTTTTTTCAGAATAATTTAGCACACTCGGGTAACGGGAGACGAAATTTAAAAATGGCCTGAAACAAGGCCATTTGTGCAAATGCCTTCATTCTCAGGGGCGGAGCTAGAGTGTCGGGACCAGGTTTAGCCGATCGAACCCAATAGCGTTGGTTCGAACTTTGTATTTGTCTTAAAAAATCCATTGAGTAATCCAGAACGCAGTAACTTAAAACAATTTAGAATCCTGAACTCATATAAGTTTGAAATTCTGGCTCCGCCTCTGCTTATTCTGACTAAGTATTTGGAGCGTGAACAACATAAAATAAGGAGAATGGGGTGGGACATGCTAACAACAATGAATTGGAGAAAGAACACTTACTGATCAAGATTGATAAGAGTATCCCAGTTGATGAGAGTGACATTTTCTCTTGTTTCAGGAATTGCAGAAGGGACTGGAGAACACTTGATAAGACAAGCCTCTGTGCCACACATCTTCTTTTCTTTCTAAAACCTTTGATCAATCAAAAAATAAGCTATTGCTATTTAGGATATGTTTATAATTGGAGAAGACAGATTTTTGTACTAATCCATGTCTTGCATGCTGCACTATATATAGGGGAGGAGGCAAAGGCTAATGCACAAAAGGTCTCTTAATTAATAGATAGAATTTTAAATGGATTCTCTTACTAATTCTCCATAAAAAGCCTTCTAATTAATAGGCAGAATCTTAGATGGATTCCCTAATAAGTGTAATTATGTCTTTTCTAATCTTGATTTTTGCATTTTAGCTGTTTCGAGAGAATACTTTGAATGGTAAAAAACAGTTGAAAGCAGATAAGATAGAGTCTTGCAATTTTGTCCGTATAGTAAGGAGATTAAATCTCTTGATCTAAACAAAGGAAATTGTATTTTTGACACATATGGGAAATTTTTTGTGTTTATCTAGATTGATTTAAGGGAAAAATTTTTGTGTTTATCCATTTTGATCAAAGATACTACTAAGTCAACAACTAACTTGTATTTTTTATAATAAAAGAAAAAACAGATAGGGAAAAAATTGAAGAGACAACGGTAAAATATAAAAATGAAAAACAAAATAATATGGTCAGTTCTTTTTATTTTTTTTGTCTCTTTAAGTGTTTTCATTAAATTAGAAGAACTGCATCACTGCATGTGATGTAAGTTTGACTGTTGGTATCAAAGAGAATCGAACTCTATAAAATAAGATGAAACTTAACTGAGTTCTCTCTTTAGGAATCTTTTTGGTTTCTGTATGGATGTTGGGTCGTTATGTTGCTGGCTCTTGGTCGGCGCTTTAATTGTGTATGTTGGAATAGTCAGTCGTATAAATTTAGATCACAAAATAGTGTCTTTTAATTAGCCTGGTGTTCGAGTAACTTACGCGAACCTCTACTATTTTATCAGTTATTTGTTACCTCTCAACAGTACATATACTAAGTAACTTTGCAGGGCCATGTACAGAAAAAGAGAAAAGAAATGTTGTACTACTAATTTTTTTTTTTTTTATTAAGAAAGTCCTTTTTAGATAGCGTGATATTCAAGTAACTTACGCGAACCTTAACTATTTTATCAATTATCTATTACCATATCTAATAACACATACACTAAGTAAGTTTGCTGACCATGCATTAAGCATATGATTTTGTCTTTATCTAGAATTGTTATCCTATTTCCGATGATTTCATTAAGACCGTTAGGCCATCATCATTTTTATCTTCTTCAAAAAAACAAACTCAATATCCATCTGAAAATCGGGCTTACTCAGTATACCAAGTGCTCTACAACTAGAGCAGGAGAGAACGATCGTGTATACTGTATGCTATGTTTCTCTTGCATTTATGCAAATGTAAGTTATTTCTATGTCTCAAACGAGTGACCTACTAGATACCAGGGAAGCAGCATGCATTACTGTTGTGCCAAGGCTCCCCTCAAATTCAATAACTGAAAAAAAAGTATAAAAATATTTGTATCAGACTTTCATAGTGAGTTGTGGTCGGATGGTTTGATTCTGCAAAAATAAGAATGGCATGTGCAATTGAATGATGATACATGTGCTGCCCATGACAATGCATGTGTAGAAGGCCAGTGCTAAAGCAATGCTCTACCACAACTCCAGGCAAAACATAAGGTCTCTCCATCTGCACAAGTTTATGCAATTCTAAGCAAGAGAGCTAATATACTTATTTTCTTTGGCAAGACTTACTAAACAACATCAAATACACAGATTGTCTCTGTGTTTCCTTTTAGTATTTCTTCTTATCAAGTTTTTACTTACAAAGTCCCGAGTTTACTGCATCAGCATGTCAGATTGGAAACAGCAAACTGGCTAAACTCATTTGCATTGACACTAAAACTAAATCCTAAGGCTCCCGAAATGTAACTCCTAAGCTCTATTACTAAACCCCCGTACCCACCCTAACCTCCCTCGTCTCGGTAAAGACTAAACAAACGTCCAACCTACGTGTAAACTGAACCAGTAAACTTAAAGAACCACGTAAAACGAAGAAAACGTTAGTAGTACCAAAGGTAAAACGGCAAACGAANGATTTCATCAATTAACCTACATTACTGGATGGAGAAAAACAATCCGCTATTCAAAAAAGAACGCAGACGAGAGTACTCCCCACCAACCTCAAAAGCTCTTTTTCTCCATCCCCTTCACCCGCGTTGCTTGTACAATAACGTCTTAACCCCAAGTAAGTTGGAATCAACTATATGAATCCTCAGTGTCCATACACCATATTGCTCCATTCAACCCTTAATGCTTCTACTCAGGAAAAAAAGAAGATTGAAAGACTTCAACTAATAACAAATACCAGTTCCACAGAGAGCTCGCTGTGTAGTGGCCAAATCTTGAGTTCAGTAAGCTTCAGAAGCAACACAATAATAACTTAAATGCATAACAATCAGTTTTTACTAAAATTCTAAAACGTAATGCAGATCATCAAAAAGTTAAAGCAGAAACCTCTACTGTATTCTATGAAAGTCTATCTTTATGTTTTTCATATTACAAGGGACCAGTGTACCATGTCTCCTTAATTCACATTTTTCCTCTGAAAGCCTACACACTAGAGTGGTGGTAATCATTACATACAGTAGAAGCAGAATGGGATTCTGATCTATTCACATTTACATTTCAAGAGAAAAATAAATTTTTGTCTGAAGAAAAACAAGAAAGCATAAGAGTGTGTGATGTCGTCGCAGTTTTCCTTCTCTTTAACCTCTATTCTCTTTATAGCTTGTAGCGCATCGGTGAGGGCAACATAATGTTAACTATGAAATTATATGGTCTGGCATCATCGGATTTTTTCTGAAAACGTGCTTCCTGCAGCGCTCAAATATGCTGTCATAGATCAAATCAAATTGAACTCCAGCTCGTTCGCGATTCACAATGAAAAGAATGTGATCACCTTCAACAATCTTATAGTACCTGATTCCAGAAAAAGAAAAAGAAATATCAATACTAAAGCAGCCCTGAAATACCGTCGTTTTATTCAAATAACAACTACACATAGAATTCCAATCTCACTCTATAGCAATCTCAAGTATCCGATATGTGTCAAGACAAATATGCAGTATTTCCAATAGTTGCAAATTTTAAAAGTCAAACATTTTCCATATATCACAAAGTGAATAGGCATAAATACTAAGAACATAAAAGCCATAATTTCCAAAATATTATGTTTAAGGGAGTAAAATGGGAATCATAAAAGAGAAATTGAGATAATAGAGCAACAAGAGGTGCAGAAGTCCAATTACAAGAAGCGGAAAGCAAATACAGAGGATTCATCTTTTTGGGAGATGAAAAAGAAGACCATCTGAGCAATTCTTTAATCGCACACCTCTGCTAGATTTTCTTTAAAGTTCCTCTAACAAGAAAAGGCTTGATGTTGCAACTTCTAGCCACCTTGTCAACAATTTTAACACATCCACTTCAACCGGACAAAGAGATATGGATGTCCAGTCAAATCTATCAATCAAAATAAGGGAATATAACAAACCCTTAAACAATGACATACGAAAATACTGGTTTGTAAATTGGACTTGCTTCAGAATAGTTAATTACTATAATCCTAATGATAACCAAAAGAAATAGAGAAGATGACACTTTGGTTTAGAAACTTCTTAGTACTTACAACTAAGAATCCATGACCAATAATAGGTGGTGGTTCTTTAGAAAAGAGTTCAATTCTATGAAAACCTCAAAACCAGATAGGAATGAGAAAATAAGTATGATGGAAGTGTCAGTAAAAACTGTGTCAATTATGAAAAGAGTTCAATTTTCTCACAAACTGCTAGACTAATAATAGAATTTAAAGAAGTTAAATACCAGAATGGCAACTTGGCAAAAGATATATAATAGCAGAAGCTTAAGACCGGTAGCCTACCAAATGCCAGGTCGCAAAGGGTGGCAATCAGAATCTTTAACAACCAGTTGACTTGGGTGCTCAACTGGGAAGCGAGGGTGTGTCATAGATATAGTGTTGAGTGCACCATCATTGTCCCACCAATCCTCATCCCTGCAAGAATTAGATGTACAGAAAGATGAAATTACGTATGGCTTGTATAAGAACTGTTATTTAGCAGTTCCGCCCCGTTTGGATACATGATAATTGCTTTAAGAAGTAACTAGAGGATAAAATCTGTTGGTTTGGCGGTTTTGAATCTTTCAGAGATAATAATTTGCAAGTCTAAACTCCTCATAAGACAATTACTACGAAATTGCTATACAAAGCTTTGAGGCGGAACTAAAACTGGGAGGATAAGAAACCCACTCAAAGTGATGTTCTAAATACTTAATTTGAAACTGGCGTTAGTGCATCCAAGGAATTTTTGCATGCATCAATTTCATGGAGCCTATAGCCAAGTTTCATACACTAGTCCGGACAATACAAAATACTGTTGCACAAAGAGCAAAAACCTCAAAACAGAGAATAAGTGGCATAACAACAACACTTATAGTTTGTTTGACCAAGCTTACGAAATCTGCTTATTTTGAGAAAGTGTTTTTTTAGTCAAAAGTACTTTTGAAAAATAGCAAATTGTGTTTGGCTAATCAATTTGAAAAGAAATTTTGCCAATATTATTAGAGCAGCTATTTGTGCTTGGCCAAGGTTCCAAAAGTGCTTTTGAGGAAAAGCTAATATTTTTAGCTTCTGAAATTCAGCATCTGCCACTACTCAAAAGAATTTATTTTTTTCCTAAAAACTTGCCCTAACAGGCTATTACTTGCAGTAGATACCTTGCTGGGAATCTTTGCTACATTGTAACTGCCGATATATTTGAATCAAAATAATAAGGAGAAAACAAAAGACACACCTATATCCCTTATATGGGGGAGGGACATCGGGAGGATGCCGCCATAGACTCATTTGCAGGACTCTGATGAACAGCAGAGGATGTATCCCAAGTATGCCAGAAGGGACTGTTAGACCCATGACTTTCGCGGTACGCTTGGTAGCATAGCTGAAGTAGTATGTATTAGGAAACGTATGCAAGTGGCTGTTCAACTTGATCGACCCCTGGAGGGTAAGATCAGGAAGTATCCAATCCCCTGAAGCAAACGGACCAGCATTTCCTAAAAGGCAATCAAGAAGACCCCATATTCCAATTTTTCTCCAGGATATGTTGAAGTGGTCAAACCCAAAGTTGTAATAGTTCTTTAGCCAGGGAATGTCAATCCAATCGTAAATTAGTACTCCAATGCGACAAAGTTGGAGCAAAGACACTGGCCTCAAGGACTTCCCATCTTCAGGTCTGTAAATGAAATCAGTTGATTCAGTACATAAAGATCACGATTTCAGCAAACCATAAGAAATCTTGGGTAAACATAAAACTTATAAGAAAAAACTACAAACAGATAACAGCAATTCTAAAGCAGATTTTAGAGAAACAACAAAGTTAAAACCTTCATATGATCATTATTGAATACCAATATGATAATTAATGGTTGAATGAATTGAAGGCACCTAAAGTGGCATCTGAACATAGCATCTACTTAAAGCTCGATCATTACTAAAAATTAAGCCAATAGCGCAATTGATATAATGAACAGCCATGATAGCACTTACATAGTTGTCTATACCACAATAACAGATCAAATATAGTTGAACAACAGAAAATAAGATTTTCTCTTTGGGATAAATGAACTACAGATAATAAGATATCAGAAACCTACTGCATTCCATCAAAATAGGTTCTTGTTGTCCCGTTGAATGCTCCAGACAACGATGTGATGCTTAAGACCCAGTTCTCGGACGTGTTCTCAAATCCCTTAAATGCCTACAATCACAATAAGCTTTAAATTAACAACAAACTTCTTTTAAATCTCGCAATCCATGAATTAATTATAAGCAGACTCACCTTGTCAGCCAGCATTTGTTGCAAAACTCGAACAACCTGTGCTCCAGCTGAATGCCCAACAAAATGAATAGGGTGATCTTCATCCCATTCTGGGTAATGCCCTGCTTACAAGAAAGTACGAAAGGCTAAATTAACCATTCATAATTTCACAAAAACATCGTAATGCAATAAAAACTAAACAGAGAAGGAAGACAAGTTTCAACCTTGTTCATTAGTACCATGAATTTACAAACATTGAAATTACAAAAAGCTAAACAATGAGGAAAAAGAGATTCTAACCCTGTTCATAAATTCGTCCGAATTGGGAATGTCCACAGGCCTTACTATGTTCTTCCCCATAATCAACTTGCCCTCCTTTCAAATAATAAAACAACTCACGAGCCCTGAAACATAAAATCCGTCAAATGTTGCCCAAAAAAAAACATGTACAACAGAACAAAACAACATTACAGCAACATGCAACTAAGAACATAAATAACAAGAATTTGAAGCAGCATCAACCCACCTGTCATATATGCTAGTTAGAGAGCCCAAATCAGGCACAAGAACCCTATCATCCTTCTTCTCTGCACCAGCAAAATATGAAAGCCCTCCTAATCTCTACACAAAACATCACAATTCCAATGCCATGTTATAATTATACCTCAAAGATTACAATATAAATGGATGGAAAAAACAGACCCCGTAATAGGAAAAAAATAAAAATGACATACCCCTTTTCCAAAACCAAAGATTCCATGAACCAACACAATGGGGGGCAGATCTTCTGCACTTGTATTAATTGCCTTTGAATCTTCTGTTTTTAAGTTAGCCTCCAAATTATTAGGCTTGTAAAAACAATCAGTTAAAGCCTGGGAAAGATCACCAGCCACAGCTGTGCTAAATATGTAAAACCCATATGCCAAATGAACAAAAGAACTCACAAACAGCTCTGTCAATTGCAGTGCTGTTATCCACCACCTTACTATCATTTTCTTTTTTTCTATTAATAACACAAAATATGAATAAAAAATTTTGTTTTACCACCTCCCTTCTTCAAGAAAACAAGAAAGCAGCAAGCTTTGATCAATCAACAACTATTCCGAAAGGAACAAGAATCTCATCAAATAATTAAACCCCCAAAAGGGTGTTTGTATAGGAACGAAGAAAATCAAAACAATTTTTTTTTTTCAATTTTCAAGGGTAGAAGAAGGGAGGCAAATCAAGCAATGCTTTTCAAAGAAGCCCCCAAAATGGGGGGGTCCTTTTAGCTTTGAAGAGAAGAAGAGGAAAATTCAAGACTTTGAAATATACGTAATAGTTTCCCACAATTATCTCATTGCCCACCTTAATCACAATAAAAGACCAATCAAAGCCTCATTTTTATTGCACCCCCATTTGATTTTTGTGTACATAAAAGGAGTGGGGTAGGGGAAATTGGGGCCCACCACACCTCAAAGACTGGTGGGAGTTGGTGCCAGTTGCCATTCAGGGTCTAAAAATAGGGTCTTGGAAATTCAAAAGAATCTAAAAAGGGAAATTGGAGAGTGCCAATTCATCAGCATTAGTGATGGAGATTTGGTGAACAATACAAGATTATGCCTAAATATTGGGGATAAAGATATTATTTAAGGAATAAGTAAGGCGCATAATCGAAAATGGTCTTAAATATCGGGGTGGTTTGTTTGGTGTTAGGTGGAAGTTGATTCTGGCTAAGATTCTACGTAATAATAAAATGTTCTAGGAGTTTCTCTTGCATAAAAAACACAAGAGCAAGAACGAGGCATTGGTTGGAAAAGAGCTGGAAAGTTCTGTGTTTTGTATATTTAACTATAAACCAACCAAATCCAGAATGGTCTAATTCCCTTATCCAAATCAATTATCATTGGCATCCTTCCATTTGTTTTCGCTCTTCTCATCCACGCACTTTTCTCCAAAGGTGCACACCACACTTCCAACGTATAGCTCTTCTTTTTTCTTTTTCTTTTTTTCTTAAAGGAAAAGCAGTTTTTTTTTTAAAAAACTCCCCTCCCCTTCGATTCCCTCTTTGTTTGGAGCTAATTGCTCTTGTGGTGACTCAAACCCACAATAAGTCTATCGAGTTGGCGAAGATTCTCCAGAAGAGGAATGTCAATATAGCATGTGTCCAGGAGACTAAGTGGGTAGGATCGAAGGCGAGGAATGTAGATGGGTTTAAACTGTGGTACTCTGGACGCTCGAAAGGTAAGAACGGAGTGGGTATTCTGGTGGACAGGGATCTTAGGGAGTCGGTGGTTGACGTTAGGCGGGTGAGTGATAGATTAATGTTTATTAAGTTAGTGGTCGGAGGGCTCACTCTAAATGTCATTAGCGCATACGCGCCCCAAGCGGGTTTGGATGAAGAGGTTAAGAGGTGTTTTTGGGAGGGTTTGGATGAAGTGGTGCGTGGTATCCCGCCCACGGAGAAGTTATTTATAGGAGGGGATTTCAACGGGCATATCGGAGCGTCTGCCAGTAGTTATGGCGAGGTGCATGGTGGTTGTGGCTTTGGGGTTAGGAACGGAGGTGGAACTTCTCTATTGGATTTCGCCAAGGCTTTTGAGTTGGTGATAGCGAACTCTATGTTCCCGAAAAGAGAGGAACATTTGGTTACTTTTCAGAGTACGGTGGCTAAGACTCAGATTGATTATCTGCTTCTAAGGAAGTTTGATAGAGGGTTGTGCAAGGATTGCAAGGTTATCCCGAGTGAGTCACTCGCAACCCAACATCGGCTGTTGGTGGTGGACGTCAGCATTCCGATGAGGAGGAAGAGGAGGGTGGTTCGGAGTAGCCCGAGGATTAGGTGGGGTGCCTTGACGAAGGAGAAAGCTCAAGAGCTGGAGAGGGGGCTATTGGCTATGGGGGCCTGAGAAGTGGTGGGGAAGCTAGCGTTATGTGGACGATGACGGCGAACAGTATTAGGAAGGCGGTACAAGAGGTACTAGGGGTCTCGAAGGGTTACTCGGGCGGGCACAAGGGTGACTAGTGGTGGAACGCCGAGGTCCAGCGCAAGGTGGAGGAAAAGAAAGCGGCGTATCGACGGTTAGTGGAGAGTACGGACGAGGAAGAGAGGAAGAGGAACAGAGTAAGTTATAAGGAAGCTAAGAAGGTGGCGAAGTTAGTGGTCACAGAAGCGAAGAGTGTAGCATTTGGTCGCATATACGAAGAATTGGGGGAAAAAAGCGGAGACAAGAAGTTGTTCCGGCTGGCCAAGGAGAGGGAGAAGACGACTCGGGATCTAGACCAAGTGAGGTGCATCAAGGACGAGGAAGGCCGAGTATTAATAGAGGACGCGCAAATTAAGCGGAGGTGGCAAACGTACTTCCATAAGCTGCTGAATGATGAAGGGGAGAGAGACATTGTGCTAGGGGAATTGGAGCACTCCGAGTGTCACCGAGATTTTAGCTACTGTAGACGCATTAGAGTCGAGGAAGTTTTCGGGGCTATGCGTAAGATGAGCAGGGGCAGAGCGACAGGGCCAGATGAAATCCCAGTAGAATTTTGGAAGTCTGTGGGTAGAGCAGGATTGGAGTGGCTAACTGGGCTGTTTAATGTTATTTTCAAGACGAAGAAGATGCCAGAGGAATGGAGGTGGAGTACGATGATTCCGCTATACAAGAACAAATGCGATATCCAATTTTGTAACAACTATAGGGGCATCAAGCTATTGAGTCATACCATGAAAGTGTGGGAAAGGGTAGTGGAAGCGAGGGTGAGGAGGCTGGTGTCGATATCCGAGAATCAGTTTGGGTTCATGCCTGGTCATTCCACTACAGAAGCGATCCATCTTATTCGGAGGTTGGTGGAACTGTACAGGGATAGGAGGAGGGATTTGCACATGGTGTTTATTGACCTAGAGAAAGCCTATGATAAGGTACCTAGGGAAGTTCTTTGGAGATGTCTGGAGGTGAAAGGTGTTCCGGTGGCGTATATTAGGGTGATTAAGAATATGTATGATGGAGCTAAGACTCGGGTTAGGACAGTGGGGGGCGACTCGGAGCATTTTCCGGTTGTTATGGGACTACACCAAGGATCTGTGATCAGCCCGTTCTTATTTGCCCTGACGACGGACGCACTGACACACCATATCTAAGGGGAGGTGCTATGGTGTATGTTATTCGTTGATGATATAGTACTGATTGATGAGACGCAAAGCGATTTTAACGAGAGATTGGAGGTTTGGAGACAGACCCTTGAGTCTAAAGGTTTCAAGCTGAGCAGGACTAAGACTGAATACGTGGAGTTCAAGTTCAGAAGCATGCCGGTGAAGCGGACGTGGACGTGAGGCTTGACTCGCAAGTCATTCCCAAGAAAGGGAGCTTCAAGTACCCGGGGTCGATTATTCAGGGGGATAGAGATATTGACGAGGATGTCACGCACCGTATAGGAGTGGGGTGGATGAAATGGAGGCTAGCGTCTGCTATTCTGTGTGACAGGAAGGTGCCTCCGGAACTTAAAGGAAAGTTCTATAGAATGGTGGTTAGGCCGGCCATGTTGTATGGTGCAGAGTGTTGGCCAGTGAAGAATTCCCATATCCAGAAGATGAAAGTTGCAGAGATGAGGATGTTGAGATGGATGTGCGGACACACTATGCTAGATAAGATTAGGAATGACGATATTCGGGGGAAGGTGGGCGTGGCTCCCATGGAAGACAAGATGCGGGAAGCTAGGCTTAGATGGTTCGGGCACGTGAGGAGGAGAAGCCTGGATGCACCGGTGAGGAGGTGTGAACGGCTGGCCTTGACGGGTATGAGGAGAGGTAGAGGGCGGCCTAAGAAATATTGGGGAGAGGTGATCAGGCAGCACATGGTGCAGATACAGATTTCCGAGGACATGCCCTTGATAGGAAGTTGTGGAGTCGAGCACTAGGGTTGTAGGTTAGGAGACAGGAGGCTAGTGTGATAGTGTCTTGCTGTAGGCTGCTAGGGGCTCCGGTTGTGTTCTTAATACTTCTTTAGGGTCGAAACATTAGGCTTAAGTAGGTTTAGCGGCCCTGTATGTACATATTATTCCCTTGCGTATGTAGTATTGTGCCTTTGTTGATGTTTAGTGTTAATTCTTTGCTCTCTATTTTCTGGTTATTGCGTTGCTGGTGTTATATGTTAGGATTCATTTGTTGCTACTGATACATTGTCTCTTTCTTTCTTGAGCCGAGTGTCTACCGGAAACAGCTTCTCTACTCCTCCGGAATAGGGGTAAGGTCTGCGTACACACTACCCTCCCCAGACCCCACTTGTGGGATCTCACTGGGTTGTTGTTGTTGTTATAAACCCACAATCTTGAGATTGTAGGTGAGACGTGCTTACCATCGGAGCAACCTCTCTTATCACAACTAATTAAGCAATTTTATCTTGAGTTAAGACTTTCGGTCTAGTATAAGTCTCGCTGTTAAGAAATAAATCTCATTTTTATCCTTGACTCCTAATAAAGCACCAATCTGACGATAATTTTATATTGAAATGAAAAGTTGGACAGTAAATTTGTATTTTTCTTCTCGAAGAACATGGACACGTTCATCCATTTTGTGTTGGGGACTCTATTAAAGGCTAGGCAAATACGAGATGATTTTCTCATGGCAACGTTATGATGAGTTAAATGTGTACCGGATGACATAATTGAGTAATTTTGAATAGCATCAGCAAAAAGTTAAATGTTTTTCTTTTGAAAAATATATAGCTTTACAAGTAAATTACTTCGTTTGGGGTTCATATTCTAAATTATAAAAGTTTTTGCTACCGATAGAAACTAGGAGTCCACCAAACTGTGTAGAGAACCAGGTTCTCTATCAGTTCCCAAAGTAAGCAATAGACCGTAAAACCAAACAGTATAGGGAATCGGTAATCTATCTGTTCCCACAGTAAATAGGCAGTAAATAAAGAACACGCGATATTTACGTGGAAAACTCCTTGCTCAAGGGATTAAAAACCACGGCCTACCCTAGTAGGATTTCAACTCCACTAAACCGAGCAAACTTCAGATTACAACCTATTGCAATCTAGGAATTAAACTCTTAATCCCTCACTCCTTACAGTAACTCTATTGTAAGCCCTTTGTAATAACTTTATTACAAAGCAACAAACCTTTACTAACTCTAGGCAATCTAGAAATTAAACTCTTAATCCCTCACCCCTTACAATAACTCTATTGTAAGCCCTTTGCAATAACTCTATTACACAGCAACAAACTTGACTAACTCTAGTCAAGAAACTAAACCAAACAGTGGTTTAAATCTGTCCTACACAAACACTTCTTAAAAGTAGTGTAGGATTACGAGTGAAGAACAAAATAACCAAGACTCAACAAACCTAAGGACTTAAGATATCTTCAATCTTTGGATCTGGTCCTTGAGGTTGCAACAACTTTTTTCTTGAGAGAGGTGGTGGCTAGCACTTGAAAGAATATTATCTTTTGATTTGCAAGTGTTAAAGAGATGAAATTCCTTGCCTCATGTTCATAATATATGTGTGTGATGTCATCAAGGGTGATGTAATAAAGTGTCCTTTAGTTTGTCCTTAGCAAGCTACAACTGTGTTGTTGTACTGCTGCTAGACGATACAGTGCAGCAGCTTTTACAGCTGTAGAGTTGACTGTACGACGACCGGGGGAACTGATCCATATCTGTTCCCTCTATTGTTCCCTTATCTGATTTTATTGAGAATTGATCCAGACATCTGACTAGTTACTCTGAACGCAAGAGAACTAATTGTATCAGGTTCCTTATCTGGTTCTCTCATGAAATTTGTTAAATCAACAAAATAATAGACGCATAACTTTTTAATTTTCCTCTTTTTGATGATGACAAACTTAGAATTGATATTCCCCCTGAGAACCAGATCTCCACATTGTTCCCCCTATGAATCAGCCATATTTTCCTTGAGAACCAAACCTAAGGAACTGATCACAACTGGTTCCTTGAGACTGTTTGGTAAATCATCAAAACCTAAGATACCATAACTTATCAATTTCCCCTTTTTGACGATGACAAACCCAAAATTGATATTCCCCTTGTGAACCAGATTCCTCACATGTTCCCCTGCAGATCAGACCTATAATTAACATGTTATCAGCAATATTTCCCCTGCGAAGCATAGCTATCTTTCATGCACAACACAACATGTCAATTCGTTTATGTTCCTCCTCCTATTGACACCAATGTAACTTCCCCCTTTTGGCATCATTGAAAAGAATAACAGAAGAAGCACAACCAAAAAGAAGTTCAGCAACATTAACTCATGCCACTTGGCAACACAGAATAAACAATAACAAGAATAACAAGTGAATGTCATTGCCCAAAATAGAGTGATTGCCCTCGAAGTTCTTTCAACTTGTCCTATAGAGTAATTATAACAAAAGCGCAGTAGTTTCAACAATACAGAATATGACAATTTAAACAACTAAAGTACCAATGTCATTAAACATAGGGATCAAAAGAAGATAGGAATTCGAGAGAATTTGGAAGGAGTGAAAGACATGGATCACTGGGCAAGAAGAAAAGTAAGGGGCTAAGGCCTTGATGAGCTTGTCCATTCGTTCATTCACTCTCCTTTGATCAATGATCATCTTCTCTCTCAGGTCCTCCACTTGTTTCCTCAATCATTCATTCTCTCCCTTCAACTTAGCATTCTATTCTGCCAAGGGTCCACGGGGACCTGGTTCTCTACCTATCTGAGCAGGCAAAACTATCAATCAGATCACCAAGAATCTCCCAAGCTTCTCTTCATCAAGAACAAACTCAGTCCCATGCACACATAACATCAGAGTATCAGATACAACATAGAAGTTTTTACTTCTTCTTCATAAATGTTGGGACTTGGAGGATCAAAGAGGTGATTCTATTTTTGGAACTCAACAATGTCAAGAAGTTCCTCCATTTTTCAATAATATCAGAGTCAACACTCTGCCTAACAACACTTTTGAGACTTCAGAGTCTTCTACCTCTCCGAACCCGATAACTCAACCTTTTGCTTCTTTTGCTTCTGTAAGGAACCAGGTTCCTCACTCGCACTACCCTTTCTTTCCCTAATAGTCCATCTCTCCCTCTTCTTCTTCTCAATCTGCTCACCCTTATCATATACTGCATCTTTCTCAGTCAACTTTCTTTTCTCTTTTTTTTTTTTTTTGAATTCTTTCTCACAAATGGAGATTTTTCCACTTCATTCTCTCTTCCACAATCACCACATCAGTAGGTCACACCACTTCATCATCAATCAACCTACTTTTCTCAATCCTTTTATTGGATTGGAGGTTCGTTTAAGCACAGAATTCTAGAGAAAAGGATCATCATCAGAATTAACATCCTAAGATGGATTTGAGGGACCGGGTTCCTCATTCAGTTTCCCCTTTTTCTGGCACATTCACCAATTCCTCCATCCTTCAAGGCTTCTATAAACCCAATAACAATTTCAGCCTTACTCTCTAGAATATTATATCTACCCCGTTCCTTTTCAGTTAAAGTCCCATTAAAATCTACCAAAGACTTCTTGGGTTTCGATTCAGATGGAGTTAGGACTTTTGGAAGGTGACAGAGTTAGATTCACTTCTGGCATATTTGGAGAGAAGGATTCTTTTTGAGATAAGGTTGATTTGGTTTTGAAGAAAAGAATCGGTTTTGGTTGGGTGTGAGAGAATGAAATAGTATTTTTGGGGCAAAGGGTTAGTTCATAAAGGTTTAACATTTTGGACTAAAAAAATTAAGAGAAAGGCGGGAATAAATTAATGACATGACACTTCAGCAGTTTAAAAAGACATATAAGTATTGAAGAGACTACTAACCTGAGTCACATGAACCAGGTTCCTTGACGTTTTTTGAGAATTTGAGCAAAAACTTTTAGAAGTGCAATGTCACTCATACTTGTTTTCTCCTGAAACTGCTATGTGTGTATACCTGTAACGGTATAGAATTGAGTTAGATGCCACAAGAAAAACACTTTTTAGCATTGTACCTTTCCTTCTTTACATAGCCAATCATCGAGGGACCAAGTCCTTAGTTGAGCTTGATTAACCCCGACTCTATACGATCTCTTTCAAAGTGTTCTCTACTCAGTTCTTAGTGAAGATATCTGCTACCCGATCCTCCGTCTTGCAAACCTTCATAAAAATAAGCCCTTTTTCAACATTGTCCCTTACAAAGTTATATCGCACATCAATGTGCTTTGTCCCCTTGTGTTGTACTGGGTTCTTTGCCATGTTTAGAGCACTTGTGTTATCATATAACAATGGCACACAATCTGTAAACATACCCAAATCTTCTAGTTGTTGCTTGATCTATTGCATTTGAGCACAACAGAGGCAACATCCACATATTCAGCTTCAATAGTAGAAAGAGCTGCAGAGTTTTGTTTCTTTGTACCCTAAGAGATCAAACATGAGCCCAGAAAATGTGCCATTCTTGATGTTCTCTTTCGATCCACCAGATATCCAACATGATCAGCATATCCAACCATGTCAAAATTATCTCCTGAAGGATAGAAGAGACCAGGTCCTATGTTCCCTGAGGATACCTCAAAATTCTTTTGGCAGCCTTCAAGTGAGATTCTTTTGGGCTTGATTGGAACCTAGAACACAACCTAACACTAAAAACAATATTAGGTTTGCTAACAGTCTAGTACAGAAGAGATCCAATGATACCCCTATAATAGTTTCATTGACAGGAGAACCAGGTTCGTCCATGTCTAAACGAGTAGTAGTGGCAATAGGTGTATCAATGGTCTTAGCATTCTCTATCTCAAATCTTTCCAGCAGCTCCTTGAAGTACTTAAACTTCAGAATTTGAATGACCATGTTCCTCCATATTTGAAACATCATTGACACCAATAGAATTATGACTTCCACTTCTTTGTTCTGCATCAGGAGTACCTGATGCAACATCAGCAACCCTATATTCAGCTTCAGTTGAGGTGATAGAGGGGCCAGGTTCCTTTGTGCCTTTTGGAGATTCCGTTGCATCTTCTTCATCGCTCTGCTTGACTTGACACATCAAATTAGTCTTTCAATTTGCAATATCTATAGTTTCACCAGGAGCATTTGTAAATTCTCCATCTTCATCTTCTTTGTTACGTTACCCATTGTCACCATTGTTGAGAACAAAATATTTTGCATCCAAAGGCTCTTAGGTAAGTCGGCTTGGGGTTTCTCCCATTGATCAGTTCATAGAGAGACTTCTCGAGAAGGGACCTGATCGTGTACTTTTTGAT